CTCCAACATCTAGAAACAAAGGTGTTGATGGCAGCAGCACAGCTGATATTTCTCTCCAGGATGGAGTCACAGCCAAACAGGAACAGACCAGACGAGCAGCAGCAGATTTATGCATTAAAGACAATAGACTCTAGGTGCTGTAATGGCCTAGGCCAGGCGCGCCCAAAGTCGGTTCTCGAAGGCCGCTGTCCTGCAGTTTTATGAGGTTTCTTTGCTCCAGCACAGCTGGTTTTCATTGATACAGTTATCATTGGCTGGACTGCAATCATCAGAATCAGCTTTGCTAAAGCAGGAAAACCTCTAAAACCTGCAGGACAGCAGCCCTCTAGAACAGACTTGGGCCATACCTGGCCTAGTCAAAGTCCAGACTGAGCTTTTAGGTCATTTCCTCCACAATGGACACATATGAGACCCTGGAAGCTAAAATACATGGCAGGCAAGCAACTGCTCCTCACGATCTGGTCCATAAATGATCAAAAGATTGTGAACAACTAAAAGAAATTCCTGTCACTCCAGGATGAGGCAAAGGAGCTTTGACAATATTGAAAAAAAACATCAACTCTATGGTGCTGTAAGCTTGCGGTCTGTCTCCTTAATGGCCAGGATGTTGGGCACAGTAAGGAAAAAGCTGCAGGGAGTGGAATGGAATGCTGCATAAGCCATTCTTCCTTCGGCAGGCCTTGGTCCTGAACGCTGCCGTGTCTTCATAAAGTCCCAAACCCAGTCTTCCCCACCTCTCAACCCCATTTCCTGTCAGCTGACCTAAAAAATAAAGCCCACCAACACTAACACCATCTTTAAAAAAAGGTTTGAGTGTAAGCTAATGTCTGCCAATCTAAAGCATCATTAGAGATGAAGTGGAATTTAGTTTGTGCAGGATTTACATAAACAGTATGCGCCTTTGAAGAGGTGATGCTGTCCTATTTCTAACACTGGTATTTAACCCTGTTAATTAAAACCTCATGGTAACTTGCTGTATTTGTGCTTCTCCGTTTGCAGGGCAGCGAGCAGAATGTGAGCGTTTGGCCCAGACTTTATGCATCTGGGTTTTTAGAGGAGATGTCGTCGCTTCCTGGTAACCTTGAAGAAATAAAGAATAAAGAACAGAAAGGATTTATCATTAGACTGTAAAATGAACTCTAAGAGCAGGAATATATGTCTAAAGAACAGAAGCAGGGTTAAATGTGTGCAGTGAGGAGGAAGTGACCTAAACGTCTGCTCTACTTTATGTTTGTCTCTGTGAAGCAGAAATAGTTTAAATTGTTGCATGTTTTTAATAAACATGAAGAAACCAGTAAGCTTATTTCTGCTGCCACCTTTAGGTTCGGGGTAGGAACCGCAGGTTGATGGGTTCTGAAGGGATGAGCAGAGTTCGTGTTTTGGGCTCCACGACCGGCGCTCCGTCTTCCGGCTCCACCTTATAACGCTGGATCAGCTGCAGGAAGACACAGACGGTCAGAGCTCTGGAGCATCTCCGCTGCGCTCTGGGTCTCCGTCACTCACCCTGGACAGAGCGAAGTGCATCTCCATCTCTGCCAGCCTCTTCCCCACGCAGCCCCGCACGCCCACTCCAAACGGGATGAAGCTGTAGGGGTGGTGCTGGTAGAAGCCCGGATTGGCTCTGCCGGCGTGTCTGCTGGGAGGCTCCACATTCAGCCAGCGCTCCGGGATGAAATCCTCCGCTTTGGTAAACTCGGCTTCATCGTGGGCGGCTGCATAGTGACACAGGTGGAACTGGGTCTGCAGACAAACAGGAATAAAGATTATCTACAGAGAGAACCAGCTGAAGTCTTTACGTTTACTCATTAGTTGGAGAAATCTGTGTCGCTACCTTCTTGGGGAACCAGTAGTTGTCCACCACCACCTCATTCTCTGAAACGAAGCGCCCGTTTCCATGCACCACAGGATACAGGCTGAGGAACAAGGAGACTTTTAGAATGTCTTAGAGCTGAAAGGATGAGACTGAAGAGAAACAGCTGCTCAGAGGCGCCACCGCAGCACAGAGGGAACAGGAAACAGTTGCTCTACCTCACGTTAGAGAGCAGACCTGCGGCTCTGATATGACAAAACATGTGGTGCAGACAGCTGAACGTTGAGAAATGACGTTACTAAACTCCAGAAAAACACAACTTCTCCCATCTTTCTCTGCAGATTCTAAAATAAATCCTCCCAGTCAATATGGAGAACACCTTCACGATTAACAGAGAAGTCAAAAGTTACTTTGAAATATGTTTTAACTGGACAGAGACCGAAATTAAAAACCTCCCGCTCGTCTAAAGATGATAAAGAACAAACGATTCAGGAAAACAACAGATTAAGAAGAGTCGTTTTTTCATTATAAATGATAAACAACGAAGGAAAACTGGATTGCAGCATCAAACACGGAGGTGGCTGTATCATGGTAACCCAAAAATCTCCCTATCCGTCATTCAGCTCCTATCATACCTTCCTAAATCAGATTATATTTTATTATGTGTCCGTCTATATTAGATAAACACTTTACTTTCCCAGTGTTTGCTTCTACAAACAGGATAAATCTTTTTCCTTCAGTCTCATAAAACCAAAAAATGATCCCGATGGTTTTATTTCATGCATTTAATCTAAAGGAGAGAAAAACACACAAGTGCCAACTTGAGCTTGCAGCTGAGGCTTTGGTTAGATGTGGATCAGGCTTTGATTGAGCAAGCAGGAATGCAGGAACCAGTCCAGAACATTCCGGCTGAATGTTTGTAGCTGCTTCAGTAACCGTGGAGGAACATAAGAACAGAAACAACAGTTCCTCTTCGTCAAACAACTGCGACTGTTTTTAACCAGAAACTTATCAGGTTTTCTTTGATAACCAGCTGGGTTTCATGTTTTTATCTGAAATGGGTCATAAAAAGGGACAAAAAACTCCTTTAAAAAATTATTTACTTCATGGTTTTAGATGATTTGAGGCAAAACGTCAAGTTAAACTATAACAGATTAGAACTTCAGCTGCATTGTTTCAGAATAAAAAGATTATTATTGAATATAACGATATTTTTCCTACATAATAAATGCACAGAGCCTGAAAAGTCCAGCTGCTTCCAGCTGGAATCATGGAAGCTGCAGTGATGATTGTGATCCCAGATTCGGAGTCGCTG